GACAATACACTTAGTTCAGGATAAAGATGTGGCTTTCTCGAAAGTTCAAAAAGGTAAAGCTACATTTGTTTGTTTAATCCATACACACAGAGACATGTAAAGACAGGGTTGGTTCGTATTTTTAAGGAGAGTTGTATTATCTATCAATTGGACTAGCTTTAAAGGACCAGTGTGGTTTTAAGAATCTATTAAAGCCTTTTTTTAATGAATACAGTTTTAATATGCATTTAGTTAAAAGGTGTGTGTTGTCAGTGTCTAAGACAGCCACACCTTTACCAGTACGAACAAATTCTGGGAAGAAAATATGATATCAATCCTGGATTTGTGTGTAAAACGTCATCTGGCTCTTGTGGCGTAATGGGAGCTTTGTCTACGTCAGTACATGCTGGGGCTCAGTAGGTGGCAGTGGAGGACAGTGAGGAGGCAGTGGAGTGGAGAGGAGTTTAGTAATGTCAAAAGTTTGACAATTTATTGAAATGTGTGCACCTGAAACCCAGAGTTTTATATGTATTCTCAGAGGTGAGGGAAGCCTGTTGGGGACAATAGTTTGGCAAAGCAACCAGAATAAATTAAAGCTGTCTAAACCAAATGACAACTAATTTCACAGCATAATTTCAGCTCTTCCTCACATCAGCATGATCTATTTTAACCTCTAAGCCCCTACAACCATACAAGTATTATATTTATTTACATTTACCAGAGGATGCTGCTTGATCACAAGACTGCAAGTTTGCCTTTGACTTATAAATTTTACCTCACTCTTGTGACATGTTTCAATTGAAAACGAGTGTATTGTAATATTTTTATTAGTCATACCAAGTTTCTTTCCTATTAAATGAAAATGGTTATCTTGGTAAATTAGTTTTATTTTCGTTTAGCTTTTGGAAGAACCGCTGATCAAACCTGAAACCTAAAACCTAAAACACGAGAAGTGTATGGTCAAAAAACACAACTCAACATTAACAAAGATCTTAGTCATTAACTTCATTTAAATAATAATCTGGTGTGCATTATGAAAACCTTTTAAAACTCATAAAATTTCCAAAGGTTAGTGCACTTGGGTGTGTATGGAGTTCAACACTACAATGGTACATTAACTTCTTTCATATTTTATTTTTGATGGAATCAGAAAACAAACAAAAAAGGTTTGTGGCGTGAAATCATTCTTGGACCAAACAGGCTATATTGTATTGATCTAGCAGGTGTTCAGTTCACTACAACCACAGGTGTAACCATTTCCACCAGATCGTTTTCCAGCAGTTGATTCACCAAACTAAGCAAAGTAATGTCTGTAGCTGTATTAAACACAAAAAGGAAGTGATAGAAACAAACCACAAACATACAGAAGTGCTCACACTGACAATAATATAGTATCTTGATTCACAACTTAAACTTCCTAACAAAGATTTGAAATTTCTAAAAAATATTACAAACCTCATTATTGATATCCTCAGAGCTGTAACATTTTTACAGCTGTAACATATTGATACATGGTGTATAGAAAATTAAGTGCTTTTACTGTTTACTTGCTCTGTCTTCCTAAAGAAGCAGTATATCAGGTATGAAGCCTGAATATTTGGTACAACCTACTCTTCCCTAGCAATGTAATGTGTGTTTGGGTCAGTTTTATCATGACAGATCAGTTTACTAATTAATAATTTTTATTAAATAGTTTAATGCGATTATGAACATTGGTCTTTTACTGTGAATGTATGGTATATTATATGAAAAGTACATATACTACATATATATACACCATACTATTTTGAAATCATAAATTATGATTTGCAGAATTTATAAATAAATCTATTCTGACTGCACATCACTAGATAGTAGCATTAATGTACAGAAATTAGTGATCTGAGATCTAATTACCTTATTATTTCAGTAGGATGCTTTGCTTCAGATACCAAATTTGTAAGTTTATCAGTTTAATAGCATTCTTAACTTTTCTCATCAAAAAAAGAGGCTGTTTAGTTATAACTGTCAAGCTCAGATTTCAGTCAGGCAGCTGGTAATACCAACCAGTTTAGGGAGATATTAGCATTGATATAGAAGCTATGGTAGCTATGTGAAGCTATGATGTTTTGCAGTGATTTAATCTTGTGTAGGAAGGCTGAAAGCATGGTGACAGCACTTAAAATTAAACATTTACATTCTCATATTATGTCTCTCACTTTCAAAACATAAAGCCAAATGACACAAGAAAAAGCACTTGTGTGTTTTGTAACTTGCCAGTGCACGACCAAACCCCGGGAAGAACGGCTGGATGCACCAACTTCAAACAACAATCAATCATTAGCGGAGCAGAAAAATATGAGCAATATATCATTAAGTTTAAATCATGTTGAAATCCAACTTCTTAACTTCTCCCCTTTGTACCAGATTTCCATGGAAAAACAAGTCACTCGTCATTGTCACTTTGTAATCTCGAATTTATCACTCATTTGTTTGAAATCAAACAGCTGAATGAAATGCATGTGGTAGCGAGAGGAGACAGGTCTGTCAGCCCTCTTTAGTAACAAGCAGATCACGCAGTAGTTGCCCTAGGCACAAGTCTGGAGTAAACACACAAAGTGTCAACAGGTCCTAAGCTAAACCAGCACAGGAAAAACAAGACTTGTGTCTAACAGCAACGTCATCTAACCTGTGAAAGAGTAAACTGTGTCACACAGTGAAACTTTCTGTCCCATTTCTGTCATATTGAGGTCACATAGGTAGTAAGTGGTCGTCTCTCTCCTCTGGCTCATCTTCTAAAGGTTCTGCAGCCACTCCTCTGTACGCCGGAGCTTCCTCGCGATTTCGTGACCGGCACACAAAGTCACACCCATCCTGTAAGGGAAAGGAGGGGGGCGGTGGTGTAATCAATTTCCTTGAAAAACAGGATCTTTTAAAAAGGTCAAAAAAAAAAAAGGTAAAAAGGTGTGAAGGATTAAGAGGCATCTAGTGGTAAAGTTGGTGGCTGTGAAACTCATGAAAAACAGAAAAGTCCCCATAAACAGGCAGTGTTTGGTTTGTCTAATATGGCTACTGCAGAAACATGGCAGTTCAACATGAAGGCCTCCAAGGAAGGTGACCTCTGTAGATAAAAACGGCTCATTCTCAGCTAACACAACACATTCTACACATCCTACATTCAAGTGCTTAAAGAACTAATGAAAACATACCTATAAATATTTTTATATTATTATATTGCTGCCAATAGATCCTCCTAAATGTTACATACTGGACCTTTAATGACAATATTTATTATTATTTGCTTAAGGCTTACCGCTGTCAGATTGCCAACCTCCACCCAAAAAGCATAATTTGGGAATTGTTCCATCCCTTTGGCTCCAACAATCAGTCGCTGGTAGAGGAAACCTCCAATGAGGTACACAGCCAGAAGACAGAGCCCACTGAAAGAAGAGAGGACTTATGATAACTGATAATTTATTATATTATTATTATATAATATTATGTTGATTCTGTTTGTGTCATTACAGACAGTCTTTACGCACATGATGACTATTATGGAGCCAGTGCTGAGCTGGGACGGAACAACTGGACACACTGCGCTGGAGTCCAGCTCAAACAGGTAGAAACAGTCGTGAGCCCTGTCCCTGTCCTCCAGCACCACCTCCAGCTCGCCCTGAAAGTGAGATGGAGTGAGACACAAGGCAACACACACTAAGAGAAGGAGAAAAGGGTGCAAGACTACATCAGGCCATGTTCAGACCTGTGTGATTCATTCTAGGTAGGTCATGTTTTCTCTGTGGTTTACCTCACAATCATCAAGACGAAGCATAATATGGTGGTGTGTGTTTCAAGAAAATACATTATCTTCACACCTGTACACAAAGTAATGCGTCCCCACCAACACAGCCCCTTGCATTATTATTATTATTTAAACACAGCACCATTTCTGGTCTGAACACATGGTAAGTTAACATTTCTTCTCAAGTCTAGTGATCTTACCATGCCTATTTTACTGTTGCAAGAGATCATGATAATGGCTTTCCTCTTTTCTTTGGAGCAGTGGCCATCGTATGCGTCGCCGTTTTCGTAGATCAACATCACCCAGTCACCTGCACAGTAAGTAATGTGTAAAAATAGAAGAGACGATTATTAAAATGGTTAGTCTCATGTTCAGGATTAATTCAAGAATGAACAATAAACAATTCTTAAGCTTTTTGGGTTTATCATGCTCATAGTTTGCCTAAAACAACTTAAAATCAGGATAAAATCACTATATTTTGCAGACACTTACTTCCTCCGATGACCCGTGTTGAATTAAACCTGCCAATAATTGTGGATTTAGTTGGACTCTTGCTGTCCACCTGGACAACCCCAGCTTCTGGAAAGCCCGCTGCTTCGCCACACAACTGGAATGTATATGTGTAACTACCTTTATCTTCCTTGGTCACTACTGAAAAGCTGTCAACATGAGAACAAATACAAACAGTTAGTAATATGGGAGGCAGACGTGGTGATTAGAGCTGATTTTTGATTGATAACCGGCAACACAAAAACAACCGATGACACTGAAAGTGCAGGTACACAATTGAGTCATTTGTTACTTCTTATGGGCGAGTGGCTCGAGTCGTTCGAGGACTTTCCGTTCAGAGTTAGAATCAGAGACCAGTCCACAGCGCTTGGTGATGTCACTGGTGTACACTCCTCTCCCACACAGGACCAGCTGAACAGCCAGGGTCCACACCAGGAAGCACCCTCCACTTTGACTGTTCACCTCCTGGTAAAAAACAAACAAAAATAAAGCAATTTTCAAATATAATTACATACTATTCATTTGAAATTAGGGTTAGACAATATATAGATATACTGTATACCATCAAAGATTTGTCCATACCGTTTATGTACATATATATATATATATATATATATAAATAAATCAATAAGGAAATGATCAGAAGATAGGTGGTCAACAGATTAATAACTTCCATCAAAACATGCAAAAGATGTGCTGCTTTTCAAAGCTGCAAATGAATAAACATGAATGCTTTATGGTAATGTTAGATTTTATGTTTGTTAACATTTTTGCATGATTTATTTAATCCATAAATCGTTCCTCAATTGACTTTCCAGTAAATACAACACATCAGTATATTACACACATAGGGAAGAGGGAAGAGGGAAGATTGTACGCATATGGCCCACTACTATTTGAAATAATTTGAATTAAGTGGTGGGTTTTTAAATTGCAGACCTCCTGTTCACTAACAACCAACTTCAGCATGCTCATCTAGTTGCTTCCTGAACCAAAAAAAAAAACTAGGAGGAAACTCTCCATGTTCTGGGAAAACCCTACTTTATCTTATCTAAGGAGAGGATAATAACATCTAGAAACAGACAACCAGGATACGATCCTAATCGTGTAACTGGGAAGATAAGTTGTGCGACCACATATTTAAAGCCTAAATATGTATGTGTGAATGCAAAATGTCTGTTCATCTCCGCATGAGGCAATAAGTTTCCATGAGGAAACACAGTTTGAAATAAATAAATAAATAAAAGCTTAACAAGAGTTCAACTTTTGGGTGCATTGCGCACCTACCTTCATGACTCCTTCTGCTTTAAACGAGTGGGAGAATCTTCTTTGTTAGTTACAGTTTAACCAGACAAACTGTAGTTTTTACAGTCAGGTCCAGTGGATGATGTAGTGAGCTTCCTCACGCTAACGTCGCTTCCTGGTTTTATGTATTCAACAGTAAAGCTGCTGTTTTCTTGTTGCAGGTGGAGAGCAAAGTAAGTGTGCACGTAGTCACGGCTTTAAATGAAGCTGCACGCTTATCGGTGCTGGACAATAAACGCGCTTTCTTCTCTAAATGTGTGAAGTGGCGTTCAAGAAGCTAACATGCTACAGACGTTAGCGGAGTGCGGAAGTGAAACTAAACACACACACGCGCATGTGACTGACGGTCCAAACGAGGCGACCAATCAGCGGCTCTGAATCCCAACCCCCCCATCAGCTGACCACAGCCTTTTATTTATTTATTTATTTATTAACTGTTGAGTTGAAAGCGGAAAAGCTCATATATGGTATGTCTAGAGTTTGTTTGCCTCTTGATAATGTGTACCTCTGTCCACACTGCAGGAACTACTACTTCTATTTAATTGTTTTATTTTTATTTTATCAGATCCAGACAGACTTTTAATATTTAATATTTAAAGAGATAACACTGAATTTTATTTTATTTTTCATTAAAAAAAACTCTTACCACATAATTGGCACAGAATACAGAGCAAACATCAGGAGTTCACCAAAGACATTGTCTGGGGATCATGAATGCCTGTACAAAATAATCCATATAACTGAGACGTTTTGACCTGCTGGTGGCGCTACAGGACCAGTAGGATTCATCATCTGGGGACCATGAATGTCTGTACTTTCTGCAAGTGAGGTAACCACCATATTTTTTCTAAATAAAAGGTAAAATTATGGCTCATGGTAAGATTAAAGTGCAAGGAGATTTTTCAAGTCATAATTTCCAGGTTATTTTTTAAAAATAATTCATTTATTGCTGTTTTTTGTTTATTATATTATATATATTATATCTAGACATAGATTATGATGTCACCTAATTACCAGAACTCCTTTATCTCTCCTTAATGACCATAGTAAGTCTTGTTCTTATGTAATCCTTGACTTCATATGGTTGTGATTTAATTTCCCTCTAACCAGACTAAACTAAACTAAAGCCTCCAAACTAACCATAAAGTTGATTCAACACCTCTCTAAAACCCTCCCTAACAAAACAAAAAATTATAATCTTCATCATGGTGGTATTACACTTGATTAGTTTGTTTTTTGTGTATTAAATTACCTGGCAATGGTGGCAACTGAGTGTATTTTGTCACTGAAATTGAATGATAATATGCAATCAACTATCAGTAAGTCAAATAATGGTGCTACAATAGAGATATATAATGCCATTCTTGAAGGAGAGATCTGTTGTTAAAAGAATGTTCTTATAAACTATATGTGTGTATTTGAGTATGTGGAAAACTATGTGTGTAGAACATTTTGCTGGTATGAATGAAATGTTAGGTGGGTTGGCCTTACACAGTAGAGTACTGTTTCAATTGCATCAGCATTTTTAAGTGCACTAGCAACAACACATGGCTATACCAAGCTTGTTTTCTATACAGTAGTCTGTTCGTCATCCTTCCAAACTATCATCAAAATAAATACAATATGGCCTTTCACCTGACTTTGATCGGATTAATTTACCTGCCCCATTCTTATAATCAGAACCACATTTGCAATTTCTCAAAGAACTGTTTAAAATGATGAGATTAAACGTGAGTAGTCATGAGTAGTCATCCATTTTAATCCAGTTTAGTTTGTATCGGGATTAGCAGGCGACTTTTGTCCCCTTTGGCTAGAACCAGACTGCTCCTGTTTCCAGCCTTTATGCTAAGCTAAGCTAACCAACTGCTGGCTGTAGCTTCATATATACCAGACATAACAGTGGTGTCAATTGTCTCATCTATTCTGAGCAAGAAAGCAAATTAGTGTTTTTCCCAAAATGTTATTACAAAACTATTCCTTTAAACAATGAGACGCCATATACACTCAGTTGTAGTCAGTCAGTCTACTCAGTATAACTAAACGGAAGCCCTTATTGATATAGATGGAGTGGAAATATAATGCAATACAATTCAACAGCACAAACTAAAGTCTACAAAATATCCAGAAATTTTAATTAATGTCATCAACTGAACAATCCTGAAAGTAGGATTTACTGCAGCTGTGTTTTATCAGACTCCATTAGTTGTAGCTAGGTGTCCTTAGCCTGAGATATAAAATTATAAAATGCATGAATCTAAATTATAAAGACCCTGATTGACATTATGTAGAAATCTGAATGAGAAAATGTGTAAATGTAAGTAATTAAGTAAGTGGTGGCAAAGTGAAGTAAAACCTGAGTAGTGCTAATGCAGTGCTCACAGTTTGGTCTCATTGCCTTTATTTGGTAATGTTAATGACATAGACCTTTTATCTCACGTCAGTCCTGTATTCAATCAACACAGTAAAACAGTCATTGTTTAACAAATCATTCACAGATCACTCTTGTAATTCCTCTCCCTTGTTTCTGCTGTGTCATTGTTTAATCTTTTTTTTTAATCATAAGAGTTTGTGTTTCCCTTTCTTTCCCTTTTTTACTACCTCTTAGGGGAATGTAGGGAAGTTTTTATAGGCCTCACTGAGTCCTCCACCAGCGTGTGTGCTCTCAATCTTGACTCTCCGTTCCCCTCCCCCCACTCTCCCTTGTGTTATCACAGCCTTTACCTTACCTGCCTGTGTGTGTTATGCAGACACACCCGGCTACTCCATATCAACCAATCGCTGCTCCAAGACAGAGACACCAAGGAGGTGCACTTCCTGTGTTTCGTTAGAGAAGAATGGGGCAGGAGAGAGGAGAGAGTTATGTGTTTTTCTTTGCCAGGGGGGGTCCACACAGTCGATCACGTTGGCAGTAAAGGGGAGAGAAAATAACTGAAGAAGGAGGCCGACTTTAGTTTGATTTATTGGAGAGCTCCCTGTTCAGCAATAGTGAGGACAGGACAGAGAGAAGGAGGAGGGGAAAGATAAGTGTCAATCTGTTGAGACTTGTTTGGGAATTTGAGGAAGGAGGGGAGAGACAGAGAGAGAGAGAGAGAGAGAGAGAGAGAAGCAGCAAGAAGGAAAAGCAAAGAGAGTTCAGGCGTAAACATTAAGTTTTTCACAAGACTTAAAGCATTGAGAGAAAAAGATAAAGGTTGATTTATTTGTAGAAAAGGAGAACATTTGTTGTGTCTCCTAGACAATGTGAATACAAGGAATGAATTCTTATGTGTTGTGCAATACCATGCTTTTGAGCTGAGCTGGAATTGGGGAAGACCGCAGATCTCCCCAGGATACTACATTCAGGTGAGTTGCTTTACTATTTTTTCATGGATTTCAGATGAACACTTCTGTAAATTGCTACTGCTTTGGACACAGATTAGGTCTAGCTTAGTTGTGGTTTACATGTTACATGCCGTGCCTATGTGTCACAGGCCCTCGCTTTCTGAAAGACGTCGTTTGGTATGCAGTGTTTGCAGGTCTGTGCTGCATTCTTAGAGAACTGTATGAGGGGGACACCTTTTCTTAGGCCTGAATCTTTCTTTTTGAGTGTTACATTACTATATAACCACACTGGCTTAAAGTATCACACAGCTTTTAGCTCCAAGTGCAGCAATTTATTGTCCTGACTAAATAAACTAACTGACTGAAGACACAGCTGAATTGTTGCAGCTATTATAATTTTTCAAAGATAACAGTAACATTAGTGAAAGAGAGTTTTCCTATAGTATTCATACTCAACTCTATGAAATTAACTAAATATGTAAAAGTGTGCAGAGCCCCTTCATTCTGTCTAATTTGACTTGCATATGATTTGTCTCTGAAAATTGTTTGATTTCTAAACTGATGATGTTGGGTGTTTGTCTTTTAGGTTCTTCAAATTATGATACTATGGGGACCAAAAGGCACAGCTGCAGCCTTTTTGACACTTTATCTAACATAAACACATCTGACCGCAAACTTCAGCCAGGTGGAAAAATCTCCCGGGATCCAAGTCCCAGGCCAGCAATGACTGCCCAGTCGGAGAGAGTGAGAGACAGCAACCGCGAGGAAGACTGGAGGAGAGAAAGAGAAACAGAGAAAATGAGGGACAAAGCAAAATACAAAGATGTGGACTCACGGGAGCGATACAAGGAAAGAGACAGAGCTCCTGCGCCCCGGCCAAGAGAGGGAGAAAGAGAGTGGAGGGAGAGAGAAAGGAGGCAAGAAGATGACAGGAACCTAAATGGGAGGCTGCTGTCGTATTTAGAGACAGAAGTGGAGAGGGGGATGAAGAAAGGTGACACATTTCCCAGAATGAGAAAAAACAGTGCAGAACATGGCAGAAGAATGACCGCCACCACTGAGACGGATGAAGAGAGAAGGGAAAGGAGGCAGAGAGATAGGCCGAAAAGAGTAGAGGCAGACGACTGGGAGAGAGAAAGAGAGAGGGTACGGCAGAGAGAGATTTACAGAGACGGGGAAAGGGATGAGATCCGAATCAGGGCAAAGGAAGAGGGGAAAAACACTGGACGAAGACCTGTTGAAGACGAGAAATCGCGTCAGAGGGAAAGATATGAGTTTGATGTCAGTTGTCAGGACAGGAGAAGGTGTGATTCATTGGACAGAAGAGAGAGAGATAATGCTAGAAAGAGAGAGAAGCCTAGGCCTAACATAGAAAACATTGAGGCCAGGGGGCCTTCGCCACACAGAAGAAGAGACAGAGAAATCTACTTAGATAGGAAGGACAGGGAAAAGGCACAAAGGAGAGAGGGAAGGAGGGACACCAGGAGTGAAGGAGACAGCGACGAGAGGGAGATCAAGAGGGAGAGAGTGAGGGACAGAGAGAGGGAGGAGTTGACATATCAACACAGCAGAAGTGAAGGGGACACCACAGGCAAAACAGAGAGGGAGAGACATCGAGATAGGCAAGGATACCGGGAAGAGTACAGGGAGAAATACAGAGACAGGGACAGAGAGAGAGAAGTGGATCGATCCAGGAGGAGGGGAGTAGAGAAGGATAGAGAGAGGTACAGAGAGGCTGACAGGAGAGGAGCAAGGGAGCTAGACAGGGAGGGAGAAAGATGGAAGGACTGTGTGAGAGACGTGAAGGATGATAGGAGAGAGGGTGACAGATATAGAGAGTATGAGCAGAGGAGAGGCAGAGAAACAAAGGAAAGACAGGAAGCTCCAAGGTGGGATGATACCACAGCCAGAGGCAGCGGATCCCAGAGCGAAATGGCTCCCAGGGTGCCGCCACGAGCCCAGAGCAGTGGAGAGTGGAGCACTACTGAAAGTGACAGAGATGTAGAT